TGATCTTTGGCGTGTTGATTGTGTTCTTGAGACTTCTTGAACTTGTTGCTCGCCGTAGTCCAGAAAGCGCCACATGCCACCAAGCGTAAGACGACCAGGACGGTAAGTAAGAGAAGACCTGCGCAAAGATGAGACAAAGAAACGTGGTGGTAAGAACGACCAGTTGTGCGCGGCTCGCCCGAGGCAAGCTCAGCATGAGCGAGGGCGGGCATAATTGCTTAAAGATAGTCCGGCTGATGCTTGGGAAGGGTCGTAGGGGGGGTCTCTGTCAGCCTGAGAGGTAGCGGTACCTTTGGCTGATGAACTTTGGATGTACGAATAGGTAGTGTGGTGGTGGTACGTCTGGGTTATGCCTGTGTCTGTGTGGCCCTGGCCAAGACCTAGCAGTGGCTTGCGAGTAATGAAATGGCGCTGCTGGACATAAGCGACTAGGGGCAGGTGAAGGTGGGCCTCGGCCGCCGCATCTGCCGTAAGTCGGGAGGGAAAGCTGCCGAATAGTGATCTGGGCTGGACCGATTACTTTGCCTCTGTTGAGGAGGGTGGCCGATAAGAGAAAGATGATGGGCGCGAGCCTTGAGTGAGGGAGAGAGAGTGAGAGAGATTGGCGAATGTATGTCTGTATGTCTACATGATCGACGTGTAAGTGCTTGATCCCTTTTATGGTGCTATTTCGAGTGGATGCCGCGCGCTAGGGTGGCGCGAGGCTCATTGCGCCGCAAGCTCTGAAACCATCGGCCGAATTTGAATGGTTCCCACGCATCACTGGCAGCGGCATCACCCAACAATTGTAAGTGACGGCAGACTTACAAAGAGGTCGGTTCCGAAGTCCCAACGGGGTTGCAAGCTGAGTGGGTTGAGGTGCCGGTTACCTTGCTTTGCAGGCGTGAGTCGCAGTGGACGAGGGTTGAGACGACGGAGGATATCTATGCGCCGTGTTCCCGTGGACAATAGCCTTGATGTCGTTCGAGAGTGACAAAGGAAGTCCTTCGTGAGGGACCTGGGACCCAAGGCGAATTGATAAGGATCTAGGATGCTATAAGGATCGTAGACCAAACCAGAGCGACCGTGGGGTGGAAGGATTGGCGGGCAAGCTGGGCAGGATACAGTATCATATATATAGACACGATACTTGATGTGCCGTATCGCGGGAGACGAGACAATATGGGGATAGTTGAACCGTATCGCCAGATCTGGCCCCGCTTATGAAGTAGAAGGGTTTTGGAAGGAATTCTACTCCGTCCGAGAGATGAAAGGATGAGAGAGGGGCGTGTGACATGAAAAAAAAGGAGGTGTGCGATGACAGCCAAAATCCTGGACTGGCGCGCGGAACAAAAGACTCAGCCTAGGGGGGCCCGTTTTCAGAGCTTTCAGTCAGCCAGCCAGCCAGCCTCTGTGGAAGGAAATAAGCGAGAGAGAGAGAGAGAGAGACCTGGGAACACCAATAGCACTAACAGCAACCAGACCTTCGAATGCTCTAGGGTTCACGATGGCGAAGAAGCCTTTGCTTAGATTTGCCGCAAGGCGGCGCAAGCAAAGGTGTGCGGCTAACAAGTTCGACTGGTCGTCTGGAAACGCCTCAAGCTTAAGCGGTGTTGCAGAAGCGGGCGTGGATGGGGTGGCCATGGATGCGCCCAATGGTGGAGAAAGTGACCATGATACTCTGAAGATGCGGTCATCACAATCCATATGCTTGACAGTGATTACTCCGTAGACTTGACATGCTTGTTTTGGGTGGGCAACAAGAATGTTGTTGGGCTTTCCCCATCCGACTTTTTCAACTGGACAGGGAAGGCGGCGACAGACAGTGTCAGCACCGCTGCACAAAGACTGGTAAAGGCATCATCACGCCCGGGCACAGTTCTGATAAGAGGCGGGCTTCGTTGAGTGGGACGAAGAACGAGATGTTGGAGGGAATACCAACAAGGCGGTGAGGTCAAGTGTCAATATGGATGCGACCTCGAACATGACAAGCAAGCGCCAACATGCTCGCATTCCGATCCATTGTACTAGGTAGTTCGGACTCTTGACTTGCTTCGTCGCGTGGCGGCGCCTGTTGCACGTTCGAACGGAGACCAACATTTGGGGTCGACTTTTCTCGGAAAGGGCCCCAAGGGGAGGGGCAGCAAAGAATCCAGTCCCTTGTCGTTCAGGCTTTCAGCCCGTCAGGATCCTGGGCATCCGCATGACAGGGAAAGACAAGCTGGAATGGCCCTGGCCCTGGTCGTGGTTCGACCGTGTAAGCCGGCGGCCGTGGAGTCCAGACGGTCCACCAGACGAGACGGGATTTTGCTGCGCCGAGATCTGGGTCTGGTAGACCGTAGGACGGCGCAACCTCCCACGGTGGCGGCCATCCCACCTGGCTACTGGTATCCATCGCAGCGGAAGGGGCTTCTAGTCTAGTGTGGCCAACATGGTAACGAAGCAACATGGGCTGAACTGGAGTCGCGAGCGATTCAAGGCGTGTCTTCCTAGTGGTGAGAGAATGTCGCACGCTGTTCAAATGACCGACCTAGCCCGCGACGGGGATGCTGCTGACATATCCATAGTGGTTGATGGATCATGTACTTCGTGCTCCGTACACAAACCACGATTGGTAGTGTCGGCTCGGCGACCTGCATGATGTATCTTGTGGGACAGATACTGGTATTCGTACAGAGCAGACGTCGTGTCGTGGAGGGGAACTCATTGTGTTCAGGACCAGGTCACCCGTCGCAAAAAAGCAAGCTTGCAGAGAGTCGAGACTGCCTGTGAGCTCAGACTCCCGGAGGGCGTTGTCGCATTGCAAAGCGAGTTAGTGTGGGTGAGTGGAACGGGGATGCGACTAGGGGCCCTTGAGCTCACCTCAGCTGAACCAGGTAGCCCTACAGCCACGCTATCTGGGTCCTAGCCCTGCTAGTGTGTGGCCGTATGGGGGTGTAATACTTACAAGCTTGTTCCTCTTCCAAGCCTGTTCTTAAGAACAATTGGTCACGCAGCCAGCCCTGTGGTGTCGATCAATGCGTCCCCCCCCCTCTTGATGGGATTCCTTGGGCCGGGAAGATGATCATGGCGATGTAAATGATGGGAGTTTGGAGAGGCACCACAAGAAACCGGAGTTGGGTTGTGTTGGTTGGTGACTCTTGGCTGTTGGGCATCATCGCGCTATGCCCTCAAGGGACGAGGCAAGGAGACAGAGGTGAGCTGCGTTGCACCGGCCCTCAGCTGCCGAAAAGGGGTCGGCCGGCGTGCACAAATCGGCAACGGATTGGTGAGCTGGGTCTGCATGACATTGCGCATGAGAAAGTACCGGAATCTCGCAAGTGGACAATGCACGATGGTGATGAGATGGCGCGGGTGCAGAGTGTTGCGGTGAGGTTCAGTCACCAAAACATCCAGGACCAGTTCCAGGACCAGGTCGGCGGGGATCAGCCGCGATAGGAGTCCGAGCTCTGTCGGGCTTGGATGAAGACGAATATGACATTAAGGATCCGAGCAAGCGTTCGCATCACCATGGCCGTATGCGACGGGTGGGATGGATGATGGCCGTGTAGTCGCATGGAGGCACGCAGGCACGCAGGGTAGGATGCGGTGGTGCTGACTGGCCCACAACACCTCGCATCGAAGTCTCGATGTTGGAACTTGGGTGGCTCTGTTGACCAATGATAGACAACGTCGTGTCTCTGGTCCCCGTTGGATTGGCAAGATGAAGCCTGACGAGCCGATTGTCAAATTTCCATGGCGGTAGGATCGGAGACATTGGTGGACGAAATGCTAGGTAGGTATCTAGTGAAGACGGGACTAGGTGGCAAACATCCGCCTTGTGGGTATTATGTCACGGATGCGAGATGGCCGAAGTCTAACGTAGAGACGCAGAGACTCAGACAGAGTGACATGCCAGGAACGCGGTGGGAGATCTGAACTGGTGAGGAGGCAAAGGCAGGCCAAGCCAGAGACGGCGTGGCGTGCGACTGGAAGATGGTGTGTGGTGACGGTGGTGACAACCTGGAATGATTAGTTTCTTAGGTAAGGTATCGGAGCGGGGACGGGACAGACACGAGGACGGGAGATGGGACACAGGACCCGGGACGCAGGACTGGAACTGTAAACGGCGTTGATGATGGGCGTGTCGAGCTCGAGGGTCCATGTCGAGGGGTTGAGGGGTTGAGGAGGTGAGTACGGTACGGATACGGAGACGATTGGGTGAATTGTAGTTTGGGTTCCAGGTTGGTTGGCGATGCAAAGTTCCAGTCCTCGTCGTTCAGCTGGCGTTGAAATGGCTGCAGCTTCTCATTCGCTCGTTGTGTGATCCAAGGGTCGAAGCAATTTCCCCGGGAGTTTTCTGCTCCCCGCAATCCAGTCTGGACTCTCCTTCGTAGACTCTCGAGCAACCTATCTTATGCAAGATGGCAGTCATGGCACGCACATGGGAGAGAAGAAAAGAAAAGAAAAAAAAACGACGGAGACGGAGTAGAGCCTGGCGCAGTGCCTTCCTCGTTCAGACTCAAAGTACCTACATTTACGTACACAAGTACCTAACCGTTTAGGGGGCAGGCCTCAGCTCATGTCTTCCTGCCTCAAAAGCAAGGTGCTTTCCAGGATCTGTATTGATACCTTCCAGGTTTATATGCCGTTGTCTTAGACTACATAGGCACTTAGGTAGGTAGGAGTCTTACTTTACTTCCTGCATCTTGGAGACATGTTGGAAGTTTACAAGACACAACGGGAAACAGCAAGCTGGACACCTGCAGGGAGCGTACCTGCCGTGAACCACTTCAGCAGGCGCGACTGCCCTTCTGGGAACCGCCCCCAAAGTGACTGGCGCTTGGACCATGTATCCCGCTGGTCCCACCCATCACCCGTCCACACCTCGGTCAAAACGGAACACTGAGGACGGGAGATGATGCAGTCCATGGGGGCGATCATCCGCTGTAATTATTTTCAACACCCAAGGACAACGATGGAAGGGAAGCCACGACCCGGCTTCTACCTCTCCCGTCTTCACCTTCCTCCCTTGCGCACACCTGCGAACCGTGGTGTCCGTACCTACCCAAGGTTCCTTGAGGTACCCCAGGTACCTAAGCGGATTCAACGACGATTGCCATGACTGGGTGCATCTGCCATTCGTGCCTTCCATGTTCCTGTACAGGTCCTTGCATGACATGCATCTCTGCAGTCTGCAGTCTGCAGTCTGCACGTGTAAAGCCCTTTCCTTAACGGTCGAAAGATATCGCGACTGCTTTACGGACGTACTTGCCTTCCTGACCGTGCCTACCTTACCTACACAGGTACTTACCTACTTCATTTCAAGATGGATGAGATCCTTTTTTCATCCCAAGTTATGGAAGGTATCAACCTGGGAGATATGCCACTGTCATCCGGTGTCGTGCCTGCCGCTTCCACCCTTCCATCCCATCCCGTCCTATCAGTAAGTACCTACGTCCCGTTATCTGCCAAGGTAGGTCCCCGAAGTTGCAGTGCCAAGCCCCATTCTCTTCAAACTTCATGTGCCTCCCTCCCCCATCAACTGTTCATCGTGGCTATTTTTGTCTACCTGCTAGAAAGCCTTCTCTCTCCAGCCTTGTTCCCTCCCAACCTCCATCGACATTAATAAACGACTACGACTACGACGAGACGAGACGACGACGACGACACCGACTTTTCGTCTTTTTCGGCCCCCGATGCCAGCTCACGGCGATCCTCGATGACGGCCGTCCACTTTGCTTGCCAGATGCAGCTTTGCGGCCGCCAGCGGCAAAGCACAGCCACAACTCAAGACTCGCGGCGTCCTCCTCATCCAACCATTGTCTGTATTTTCCAAGGTGGAAAGACACCTTCAGCTCGTTTCCAACCACACGGTACCGAATCATCCTTGAAATTCAAACCTTTACGCGTCCAATCTTCTGACGCAAGACACAGGTTCAGCCGTTGTGGCAACATGCAAATTCCGAGAATACGAGGCCTTACTCCTTACCCAGTCATAGTCGCCCCATGCAAACACGTAAAGCGCATCTCCACCACTGCTGCAGCACTCGACCTCCGGATTTGCATTCACAGCAGCTTTAGCCTGTCTCTGAAAGTTTCTTCCCCCGAGATGGGGCGCCGAGCCACGGAGCCGACGCGGCCAGATCGCCGCTGCCGCCCCCGTTCCTGAGCCTTTTCTATTCCTGTTCTTAGCCCAGGACCAGGTCGCCAACTTCAGATCCGCCCCCAATGCTTCCGCTCCACGACCAAACTGGGCCATTCAGGAGCCAGATCGCAATCCCGACTGACCTCTTTCAACTGGCACACTGGTACGGGCATGTTTTGCTCCTGTCTTGTCTCGTCGGCCCCTTTTCCCAAGATTGCCTTGATAGGCCTTGGCCGTTGCGTTTACGAGAAATCGAGAGGCCTTCTCTCTCTCGCCTCCTGGCGAATCCGGTCGTCACCCCTCCTTCCGGTCTCGCCTCCCGGCCACCTCGGGTTGAACATTACAGAGGCGGCGATAACAGCTTGCAGCAATGCGCCGAGGAGATGCTGCGCGTCATCCGCTGGCACACGCACATGCTACTGTACCTTGCGATTTGGTTTCCCGCTACACGTACGTACATACACAGTTTCGGTATGCCAAAATTATCGCCCTCTCGTCCCGCCTGTTGTTCAATGGTTCGGAACACGAGTCCGCCCCCAAACGGAGCCAGCGAGCGTTGCTTTACCAGGCTACGGTCCTACGCCCACATTCCATCACAGCCGGATGGGACCCTTCCCCACTGGCGCACCTGTGGGCTCCGTGTCGCCATTGAGGCTTGAGCATTAATGAGGGCATGTGAGATCACCATTGACCGACTCGTATTACGAAGGACTCATTCACGCCCGTATAAGCGCTGTTGGACAAGATGCAAGGGTTTGCATGACAACCTCGCCCTTTCAGTGCGACTCGGCGGAATCGCTAGACGCGTGAAGTGATGCCGAAAGGCGAGAAAGCCCTGTGTCACATTTCCTCCGGTCTAAGCGTGGAGATTCGGGCAAGTGCTCATCCTTCGCCGTCTAGTTTTGACCTCGAGACGCAGTTGCTTATCACCATGCATGAAATCTGCAAATCGTCATCTAGATGTGTCACAAAACGAGGTTGGTCACCCGGAGCGCAAGCACTCGAGGTACCATCTGCCCGTTTCTAGTGTCAACAGTCCAACTTTACGTCACTCATCTTGGACGCGTTTATCGCAGCCACTCATGCCACCTTGCCAACAGCCTTCCCTACCGCCCGCAATGCTCCCACATCCAACCCTGGCCCCCCAACCCACCGAAACAATGCGAAGCCATTCAGGGACCCTCGTGCGCTTCAGCCTTACGAAGAACCCGGCTCTCTGATATGGACTGGCGTCAGCGTTTAAATCGCTTCCCACCCACTAGTCTTCCCAAGCCCTTACATATCCCCTGGTCATTGGCAATCCATTGGTTGACCGGCATCGAATAGCTTCACAGACTAACACGCGGATGTACCATCGCCGTCTCGGTTTGCATCATCGATTTGGTCAAGCCCGCTCCACGAAACCGTCTCGAGTCCGGCCCTCCCAATCAACATTGGTTTGTTCCCCTGATGCCACCGCAAAGTCTGCTGACCGCCTTTCTTTTCATTGATTGTGGGAAATTCCCCGGTGCTAAAGAGCTTTTCCCTGTTGATCTGTGAATGATCGCACTGCCAAGTCGGGCGCAACGCCGCGTTCTATTACCATGAAAAGTCGGCGACGTGAGGGAGCATGCATTAACTGGTCTCCATTGTCGTGATCGCTTGGTGGATGAGCGCGGCATCCTACCTCCGACGGCTTATTGCCATGGCTACGCGCGAGGCTTTTGCAAGGTCATCAGCACTTATTCACTTTTGGAGCCTCATGCTCGAATGCGACAGGTTGAGTTACGACATCCCTCAGCCTTGGCTCTTGCGGCACTCTCAGTAATCTTGGCCTTCTACTCTTGACCTACCCACAAGATCTAAAAGTTCATTTTCTATACCATAGACCATGCGGTTGATGATTCATGCCAAGCATACATTTCGCCGGTGCAACCCTGGTGAGTCTTGCTCTTAGGTAAGGATGCCCTCGCCAGCGCCTTGATTGGGACATAATACCTAGCATACTGGGCTCTCAGGCAATTTCTTTTCGTTCTACGAGCGAAGGCTCAACCTACCTGTCGGATCTGGCGGCTCTGTCCCACGCCCGAAAATCAACGACAAGGTTGAGTCAGCCCTGCATCTTGACAAAACTTGTCCGACCTTCATCAGCCTTCATCCAAAGTCGGAGGCAAATGAAGCGTGGTAAGATTGAAGAAGCCTTCCGTCAAGACCTATCGGATCGGACTTGCGCAATTCCACGTACGGCTTCGGGCGCCTAGGGTGACACGCGACTGTCAGATGGCTTTTTTGCAACGTCTCGTCCTGGTCGTTGCGGTGACTTTTGATTATTGAGCTGACGCCTTTCTCACTTGCTCAGGCGATCTTACCTCTGGTAGCAAAGGCACGTTCATCAATCGTATCGCCCAAATGGGTAATATTTTCTGAAAAGCCTTGACGTGTATCCGTACGTTTATGAGCATTGTTCCAATGACGATCTCTTGTTGTTCCGCATCTGGGCTCCAGCGCACCGAAGTCGACGAAGGCGTACCTAAGATGTGGATGATGCCGTTGCACTGGCTGACTGACAGCACTACCGAGACGGAAGTCAGCCAGCCTCACGAAAGCCTCTTCGCCCACAACACAACCCACAAAACAATATAGGTAGACATGACCAGGCTGACACCTTCAAGCTCGATCTCGAGTCTGATCGCACCCGGGCGTGAAATATGGCTGCCGCCTCCGTCCATTCCTGTCTTAGTCGGCCGTCGTCAGATGACCGAGAAAGGACGCTCGGGTACCCCAGCCGTGTCCACTTTCTAGGCAGCATCAGCATCACCAACACCAGAAGAGATATTCGCCTTATGACGAGCATCTGTTTTTTCTTCTTCTCACGCCCATGTAATTGAATGCGTGGGAAATCTCTCTTGATCATTGCGCGGTTCTCCCTTGATCGAATCCGCGAGACATTACACACAATAGACCTCCAAGGCCTAAATCTTATCCACAGTCGCAATGCTTCCTCACACCCGCCTCCCCACCCCTCCCCTCCAACATCCATCTTCTGACATCTTCACTCTCGCTTCTCCTCCCACCCACCCCCAAACGCCGGTCCAAAATGAGATCAAAACCGCGACGAGTAACAAAAAAACAAGTTAGCCTGCTTTGCCTGCCCTTTCCCGCCCTATCCTGCCTAAACCGCCAAAAAGGACACCAGCGAATGAATCCTGAACCCCTTTTGAATTTTGAAAAATTACCTGCCGCCCAACCATGCTCTCGCGCCGTGACAAGTCAAAGTGCGGTCTAGCATCGTCCCACGAACGGAAACGCTGTGTAGATCTGACAAAGATCAACTCCCCGAATAGGGAAGTTTTTGTAGAAGAGAGACCAATGTCTCTTGACATCCCCATCTTACAACCTATGCAACCGGTGATTGCTCGAGATACGTGGCATGTAGTCACATGCCAATACCAACACCAATACCGCCCATACCAATGTCCATGGGCTCGAGGCCATTGCCGTCGCTCGGTAGGTCACGATCTTCCTCCATCATCTCGATGAGGTTGTCGAGATTCTCGTCCAGGTTCTCCGCGTCAGCTGGGGGCAGGCACTTGCGCAGGAGCCGGCGATACTTGTCTATGTTCTCGCCCGTGCCGACCATGCTGAGCGCCTCGACGTAGTCAGACTCTGACTGCCTCTGCTCCGAGAGCATGGTCTGCAGCTGCCGCGCCAGCTCGAGACGGTCCTCGTACGAGGCCTCGTTGGCGTCGCCATTAAGCATGTTAATCTCCTGGTCCACGGCTTGCTGCACATGCAGGCGATTCTGATGTGTGATGAGGGACATGACTTGATGCTTGGCGCGGTTGGCCTCGCTGATGATTTGTGCTGCACCGTCGTCTGCTTCAAGCTGGGCCTCGAGTTCGGCCATGTGCTGATGTACGGCGGCGAGCTCGGCTTGCGTATTGAGGAGAATGCGGCGGGCTTCCTTCTCCGCCTGATCCTTCTCGCGGAGCTCCTCGTCGTAGCTCCCCGCGAGGTCTTGGAACTTTTCAATGATAAGCGGTGTAATGCGTGACTGTACCGTATTCGCGGCCTCTGAGTTAAAGGATGACAGGCCGAGCTTCTTGCTCGTTGTCATGCGCTCTGGTACCGCGTCACGGAAGGAGACGTGGCGCTGGGAATCAGGTGCAAACGGTGATGATGACCGCTGAGGGCCGCGCTCCTTCTTTGTGGCGTTGAGTTGGGCAATGAGATCTTCCGCCCGCACACCTTCGTTGTTGGGAATACTGGTAGAGGCCTGTCGCCCGAGGAGTGCCCTGATGCATTTTCTCGCGTTGCGTTCTGCTGCCAGGTGAAGGGCGGTATTTCCCTGCTCGTCTTGCGCATCAATGATCTGTTGTACGTAGGCAGGTTCATGCGTTTCTTGTAGCTTGTTCAGGATGTTGTCCAAGTAATATCTCGAACACGAGTGGCTAACGACCCGGCCGTTCTTCATCACTGCCGCATGGTGGATCACCGTGCTCCCCGTCGCATCACGCGCATCGACGGTCTCGAAAAGCTCCTTCATGACCTGGGGGAACGTTTGCTTTTCGTAGCAGTTGGTAAAGTGCACAGCCCGCATGAATGGAGTCTCTCCCCTCACATTCTGCACATTCAGGTTGGCACCGAAGCGCCGCAGCTGCTTGATGACGTCGACATCGCCCATGGCCGATGCCCAATGAAGCGCCGTATGCTCCTCTGAATCAATAATCCAATTGGGTTGGAAGTTTGGCGGCGGCTCAGGGCGGTATGCTGGCTTCTCATTTCTAGAGAGGAGGAAGTAGTCGAGGAGCTCGTCTCCGTAGACGGAATGCTGCTGCTGCGTCAAGTCCTGGATGGCCTCTTCCCTCTTCCTCTTTCTGTGGCCCGTGGATTGGTGGGACATGTCATAGCGATCGTCTTCACCCATGTACGAGGCGGAGGCAACGGTTAAGTTGTCAGGGGTATCATCGTCATTCATCATCGAGTCGCCGACCTCGTACTCTTCTAGCGGCGGCGCGCCTTGCATCTGGTTAGCAGAGGGCTGGGCCTGTGGTGGTGCTTGCTGCTGCTGTTGTTGGAAGTTCGTAGCGGGCCATTTCGGCACTGCGGGTTTCTTTGGTGCCTTTGGTTTGCTCGTGTGTCGCGGGGCCGGGGGCGGGCTCTGCTCGCCTGGGGTGTACTCGAAGATGAGCCGCAGGCGGTCGTAGATGTTGTTTCGCTGGGCGAGGGCGACGCCCTTGTCGAGAGGAATCCATGTGCCCTGGTACTTTCCGTATCCGCCCTGGATCTTTTCGTGCTTCTCTTTTTGTACCTCTCGCTCGAGGATGCGTGTTCTGGCGGGCTTGTCGAAGCCGGCGGCCTTTAGGATGTGTGTTGCGTTGATCCAGTCATCTTGGCGCCGTCGCATGACATGTTCCTTGAGGTCATCTCCGAATTGGAACTCGTAGACGGGAATCTAGCGGTTCAATCAATTAGCGATGGATTCAATTCGAGAGAACATGCGGATTCGAAGT